GTTAGATGAACACCTTGCTGGGGTCATTTGACCTCAGTACTCTTTCCTGCCATGGCAGGGGTTCGGACTAGATGATCTGCTCAGGTCCTTTCCGACCCTAGAAACTATGAAACTATAACAAAACTTTAAAATGCAACTATGCTTTTTCTCTGTGTAGGAGAGTTTTAAAAATAAATACCTCATTCTCAATTACCGTGTTGGAAAATAGTGATTACACAGGCAACCGAAACAGGATTTTATGTCCTTTTAGCAATTCCAAACCTGTAATTCAGGAGTTTATAAATATATCTAAAATCGTACGATATGCTAGTATCACTCATCTACATCATTAGCTTGCCTCCAACTTATGTAGTTTGCTAAGGGGTGTACTTCTTTTGCAAGTTGCAGTTCTGAAATGGCCACTGTTTCTAACCATGGGCTTTTTCAGTGGCTAGGGACAGACATTCAAAAAGCCTGAGCCTGAATTGATACCGTCTTTAGAGGCTAGTCTAACCTGCAGAGTGTGAACCAGTTTACAAGTGGATGGACATTTGGCACATGCCTGCAGTGGCTCAGGCCAGAAGCCCGGGGGCACTAGAGCAGCCCTCCCTTCCACAGGGAAGCTGAGCTGAGGAGGGGTGGGCATGGCTACTCCCCGCTGTGCAGTCCCGTGTTTACTCACACTCTGCCGGAGTGAAGGGAGCCCCATTCCCTGCTTCCCCTCAGTCTAGCATGAGGCTTCTCCATGTGAGAGCGGAGCTGCAGGTGCAGCGCAGAGCCGCAAGAGTAGAAGCAGCCAGGCAGGCTGTATGGGGCTCTGCTCCTCACCCCCAGCACAGCGCTGGCTGCCTCTATCCCCGGGGCTCCGTGCTGCAGATAGAGGCTCCCCCTGGGGATAGAGGCAGCCAGCGCTGTGTTGAGGGTAAGGAGTGCAGCCTGCCCAACCACTTCTAGCCCCACAGCTCCGTGCCACACCTGCAGCTCCGCTGTCGCATGGAGAAGCCCTGCACTGGACTATGCAGGGAAGTGAGGGCGGGGCTCTCTCCACTCTGGCAGAGTGCGAGTACGGGACTGCACAGTGGGGAAAACACCTGGCTCCAGCATAGGGATGGACTGCAGGCTCAGAGCCCTGGCGATAGGGCAGGATCTGCTCCCTCCCCCAGCGCTGCACTGGCCAGAGCAGCACCTGAGCTGGGCATGGGCACCCTGACCTCCCTGCCTGCTGCTGCTGCCAGGCAGTGGGGGCTGCTGCCATGTGTGGGGGGGGTGTGCAGCCATGGGGGGAGTCCCCTACATCCTCCACCCTGCCCAGCTGAGCTCCGCGCTCCCATTTCCTCTCTGGGAGGAGGAAGGGGAAGAGTTCCCCCAAGCATGGAACAGAGCCTCCCCCTGCCCCCCACTTCTGGGGCTGGGCAGCACTGCATGAAGCCCCACCCTCCCAGCCCCACAGCAGTGGGGACAGGAAGGGGAGGAGAAGGAGGAGGAGGAAGAGTCCTCATCCAGCACTTCACAGAGTTTCCCTTCCCTCCCTGGGAGGAGGAGGAGTGGTAAGAGTCCCGCCCCCCATGGAACAGAGCCCAGCACGGGCCCATTAAGGTGAAGGGGTCAGGGAGAAGGATTAATTCCTCCCTCCTGCCTTCCCTGCAGCCAGGGTCTGCCAGCTCTAGGGGCCACTGCTGCAGCCCCCTCCC